CCTGCCAGGAGCAACTGCACCTATGTGTCCAGTATTTCCTGTGAGCATCCTCCCTGCAGAGCTGGGGAACCTGAGGCTCGGAGAGCTTGAGAGACATGCCCAAGGTCCCTGAGAGAGTAGGCAGCCCTGACCTCAGCCCTGGCCACCCCTCCACCCCCCAACGCTGCTGACAGTGTCCAGAGGTCACAACGACCTCTCTCTGCAGAGGCACACTCAGAACTTCAGAGACCAGGGCTCATCACGGAGCCCACCCCTCCTGCAGAGACTCAGGGACACGCAGCTTCCCTGGACCACCTCTCCCCTCCTTGGACACGACTCAGGCCTCGCAGCCTCCTCAGGTCCCAGGACCCCCGTTGAGGGTCCACTGTGGTCCTCTTCACCCTATGTCCTCGGCTTTTGCTGAACCATTGCCTCTACCAGGAGCCACCCATGAACCCCCAGTCTGACTTGGGTCCCCCTGCTGGGCTTTCCCGTCGCGTCCTCTTCGTGACCCCTTGTGCACCTGGCATCGTGGATTGAATCTCTGTCTCCCACCTGGCCCGTCCGTGAGCTGTGACCGGCCCCCTGATGCAGCTCGCCCTCCTCAGGAAGGAGGGTGAACAGCTCTGCTTCTGAGGGGGCTGGTGCATTTTCCTCTCCTGCTCCCTTTCCCTCTCCCACCAGAGGGGTTTCCTCCAAGGACCCCTCGGCCTCCTAGTCTCTCCGCCACCCATAGTTTGGCCTGTCTGTCATGTGAGAAGGCCATTCTGCACAGCCTGGCAACGTCAGACTAGAGCAGAAGGATGGCTGAGTACTTCGGAATGAACTTTGTGATGTGCTTTCATATTTCACCCCTTAAAAAGTGACCAGGAAACATTTCTGATTACACGCTCTTTTAGAAAGTTAAATGTTATTTTTTTTCCTGGGTGAAAAAGAAACATTTACCCATTGTAGAAAATTTGGAGAATACAGAAAAAGAAAATGAAGACAGTCTCTCAATAACTCTACAAGCAGAGGCAACCAAGAGGAATGATATTATGTACCTTCACACATACACACATATGTGTTCATCCCCATCACCCACTTCGCTCTCTGTAAAAACCTCATTTAAAATGTTGCACTCCTAGGCTGAGATTCTTGTTCTCACTTCAGTGCCAACGCAGGCATAAAGAAGCAGCTGTTACCTCTTACCGACAGGCCCGACTAGCGCTCCCCGCTCCCCGTTCCATTTCTGAGGAGGCTGAGGTTTGCTTGAGGCCAGCCTGGTGCAGCGTCCACAGTTCCCACATTCCACTTCATCCAGGATGCACTGAAAATGCCTTTCCGGGGCCACCTCCCTGCCTCCCTGGGAAAGCAGATGTGACACAGGGCTCTCCTGCCTTCGGCCCTCTCCCAGGGCATAGGTGAGAAAACACCAGGTCAGGGACGTGAGGGGCGTCCCACCCTTGCTCCCTCCCCACAGACTCCGGCCTCTGGCTCCCCAGGGCCCTGACCCAGGACCACCACTCTGTCCTCATGCTGGGCCCTGAAGACAGGGAGGGCCTTTGGGGGCCGCCTGGGGGCTGAGAAATGACCAGCACTGCCCAGGGTCTGGCCGCCTCAGGGCTCCCGTCTCTTCCCGTCCCTCCTCAGCCCACGGGCCCTGCGACCTGCTGAGGCTGAGCTGGATGAGGGACAGGAGGGTGAGAGCAGCGGCAGAAGGCCCAGCAGGAACAGTGGCTGGGTGCGGCCACTCCGCCAGAGCAGCCGGGCGGGGCCCGGGACTCTGGGGGCTCCAAAGCGGGTGCTCTTTAAGGCTGGCCACTTCAGGAGCCACTGGGCACAGCCTGAGCTCCGGCTGCCACCCAAGGACGCCTGGGGGCCACAGGGCTGAAACGCCCAGGGGAGTGAATGAGGGAAGGCAAACTTGCAAGATGGGCCACACGATCCCACCCTTGGCCAGACAACGAGAACCGTCCTACCTGCCTGTTCACAGCAGCATAAAGGCTGACTATGATGTGCCCTGAGACCAACAGAGGGGTGTGTGCCGGCGGCTGGGTCACTGGCCTGGGCCTCCTGGCCCTGCATGCTGGTATCTGGCTCCATGTCTCTTCCTGGCCAAGGCCAAGCTTGTCACCAGGGCTGGGGGGCTGGTGGGCAAGTCAGTTGAAGGTTGTGGCCTGTAAGCTTCAGGGCTGTGGGGCAAGATGTTGCCCCCCCTCTCCCAGCCTGGCCTCTGGGGGCTGGAACAGACAGGACCTCTTCCTCTGTGGGGACTGGCCCAGCCCTCTCCTGCACCCTTGTCTCTGGTTCTGACGCCACCGTCCACCCATGCACGTGTAAAGATGCAGGGAGAGCGGGTTCTTACAGCGTCTGCTGGGAACAGCGGGCGGGGGGTCCGGGAGGGGAGGTTCCTTGGGGGCAGCCGCTGGTCTCTGGGGCCAGGAAGAGTGAGGCCCGGCTCCCGGGGAAGAGGGAATCTGCTCCCCTTCAGTGAGCAGGGGAAACATGGCATGCGGGAGGCCGGCGTGGACAGAGGTCCCGTGGGCCTGGGCTCTGGGCGGGCGGAGGTTAGGAATAAGGAGGCCCAGGCAGCAACAGGAACTGTGGTCACTGAACTGTGAGAGAAACGAGTAACATTTTACAAAGATGTCAAAGCGTGTGAGATAAATCCCCTCCAAGTCTCCCATGGGGTCTTCAGGAAAGTCTAGAACACTCACATGCTTTTGAGGGAGTGGACTCTTTCTAGGGGACATGAGAAGAGGCCAGTGCAGGATGGAAATGGAGACTGGAGGCCGGGCCGTGGGAGCTGGAGGCCAAGGGGTAGCTGGCGTCTGGACCATCAGGACTGCCCTGGGTCTTGGAAGGTGCCAGAGGGGACATCCTAGCCCCGCCGGCATCTTCCAAAGCAGGTGGCCTCCTGCTCCCCTCCGCAAGAAGGGGCCGGACCGGGAGCCGGGTCCCGAGGAGGTGAGGGACAGGCCATTCTCCTGGAGGCGGGGCTGGACACCTGCACAGGCCAGCTGTCTGTGAGAGCAGCACTTGCCAGAAAGCCAACCCAGAGTCCTGTTAGAGACATTCAGATGGAGAGCGGGTCTAATGCTAGATCCTAAGTGAAAGGGACAGAAGAGAAATGCTACAGCGTTTGGTGTTCCCCCTGAGTGGAGCACAGCACCATCTCCCTGAGCGGGAGTTCTCTCACCACCTTCCTTCCTGGTAGCTCTGATCTCAGTCGTGGGTGCTTAGTAGGAACCGTATCTGCCACCCTCAGTGACTGGCAAGGTGTCTGGCAAGGAGCAACTGCTTAATAAACAGCTTTGAATGAATGAGTGAATGAAGGAATGAACGAGTGAACACAAGGAATGGATGAGTGAACGAAGGAATGAACGAGCCATGAGCAGGTCCAGGTGTGGATACTATTCAGGATCAATGTCCTCTCGTTGGCCCGTGGTTGGGGAGCTGCTGGATTGCCCGTAAGCCCCCTTCCTCAGGGTTGCCCCAGGAGTCCCCTGAGCGGTGCTGAGAAAAGTCAAACTTCCACTCGTCAGATCCGGAGTCTGTCCGGTGCCTGTCTGGCTCTCACCCCTCCCTGGGGCGGGCAGGGAGAGGGCAGTGGGGCCCGTTTGCCTGTGCTCCCCAAATCAGAGCAAACATCCCTCCAGGAGTCCTGCGGCGGGACAGAGGGAGGAGCTCCGAGGGCTCAGGGCGTCGTCCCTCCCCCTCTTCAGCCCCCCACCTAGGGTTTCACGAGGACAGATGGACTGGCTGACCGACGTGGGGCCAGTTCCTGCAGTGTCACAGCGGCTCTGGACAAGGCATGGTGGTGATGAGGTGGGCCCCATGATCAGGGGAGGTGGACGTGGGTCAGCTCTGCCCACCAGGGGCGGGTGAGGCAGGACCGCCACGTCACCTCTCCACGCCTTGCTGTCCACAGGCACGAAACAGGGACATTTTATGAGTAACCACCACGTAACTAGGTCTGAGGATTGGGAGAGACCAAGACAGTGCCTGGTACACAGGCACAGTGCTCATCAAAGATCACTTATCCCCACATGATAGCACTCTGCCCTGTAGGGACTGGCCGGATTCACCCCTTCTCTGGCCATTTATGATTGTGGAGGCTGAGGAGACAGGCGGCTTCAACACCAGAGGAGGAGTGTGTGTATATGTGTGAGAGGCATGTGTATGCCTGCATTGTGAATGTACACCCAAATTTGTGTGAGCGTACGTGAGTGTGCGTGTGTGTGTACATACACACGTATGCAGAGGGTGTAGCGTGTGTGTGTGTGTGTCCGTGTGAGTGTGTGTGTGCCTGTGCACACAGGCTAGTGGAGGGGCTACTCTGAGGGACGGTGCAGATCTGCCTCTGCGTCACTGGGTCTCCCTGGCTCCCCTCAGATCTTAAGTCTCCACGATGCCCTTCACCTTCGGCGGCGCCTAGGCTGTGGGAGCTCCCCGTGCAGAGTCCCTGTCTTCCCAGAGCCCACCTGGTGCCTGGCGCAGAGGAAGCGGCAGCAAGCGGAGTAGGCGCAGGGGGTGAATCCCCGGGGAAGACGGGCTGGCTGCAGGGAGCCCAACCCTGGGCCAGGGTCCCCTTCGTTCACCAGGGCCCAGCATGGTAGGTGTTGGCCCAAAGGTCCGAGGCCACGGGGGTGCAGCGCTCTCAGACCCCACCAGGCGGAGCCACAGGCCCGTCTCCAGACGAGGCCCGTTCTCAGGCGTCTGGTTTCCAGAACCCTCATTTCAGACCAAATCTGCACCCAGGTCTCCTCGGGCGCTGGCCTCAGACTCCCAGGCCAGTTCTGGACCAGGTGATACGCGGGGCTGCCCGAGCAGGGGCTGGGACGCCCGTCCCATGCCCATCCTGCCCAGCGGCCTTCCTGCCTTGGCAGCCCCACCCGTGGGCTGCGCACGCCGCCCTGTGGGAGCCACAGGGCAGCCTCACCAGGCTGGGCCGCCGGTGAGGTCAGGGGGGCTGGTCTCCAGCATCCCGGGCCCTGAGCGTGCCCCTGGGAAGGAGGTCGAGCGGAGGCCACACTCACCTTGCCAGCCCTGAAGACATCTCTTCACTAAACTCTGAGCTCTCACTACTGCCTGCAAGAGGAACACAGATGGATGAGTGCGGCGGCCTCGCAGAAGAGGGGCCACCCGGAGCGGCCCCTTCTCCTGGGTCACCGGGCCAGGGCCCCGAGCTGCACAGACATGCCAGAGGAACAGCTTCCGGACCCTGTGGCTGTCAGCGTGGCTCGGCTTCTGCTTTGCTGCTGCTATTTCTGACTCTCGGCCCATCCCGTCCCACTGTTTTCTGCCCCTGAGGGCTGCAGCTGCCTGCCCGCCAGTCCTCTGGGGTCTGGGCCCTTAGGCCTCTGTCTTGGCCTGGCCTGGCTTCACCACCGCCTCCCTTCTGGCCCAAGTAAAACCCGTGTCAAACAGGCCTCACCTGGTGAAGACAGGGGCCAAACGAGCACGCTTCTTCCACCGAAGGCCAGGGCTCGACTAGACGCTGGTCAGGGAGCAGCTGCCTAGCAGCAGACAGAGGCCCCGACGGAGCACCCCTTCAGATCCTGGGCAGTGTGCACACAGCGGGGCCCAGCCCTTCCCCAGGCCTGCCCCTGTGGCCGACTTGGACTCTCCAAGGCCCAGCTTCAGCCACGAGGACAGCAGAGAGATTTGCTCGGAGGGGCCTGGGTTCCACACTCTTTGCCTGGGCTGCCTGCTGACACCACAGCCGGGCAGTGGGAGGGGGAAAAGGAGCTCTCAGGTCCCTTGGGAGTTACAGGACGGAGGGGACCAGTTCAGCTCCAGACAGGGCACGTGCACATATGGCAATGTGCTCCCAGCCTTTCAGCTCCAAACGGAAAAACATCTGAGTTTCCCGAGTAGGAGAGCCGAGAACCAAACTGCCTGGTGATCTCCCGCCTGGATACTGGACAGCATTGCGTCTGACTCGGTTTTCTGTCTCAGGAATAGAAAGGCCTGGGCTCAGGCACAGCTCAGAAAGTTTCCTGGATGTAAAACAGCTGTTCTGCTGCCCAGCTGAATGCTCTTGGGCCAGCATTTCCCAGACTGGTTCCTCAGAACCCCATCCCAGAGGACTCTCCAAGGAAGATGGTTCCGGCCCAGATAATGAGGGAACCTGCAGACCCCGCTGCCTTCTGGGAGACCCACAGAGCCCATAAGCACGTTAAAGTCTCTGGGAAGAGACCTGCCTATGTGGTTTATCCCAGCCTTTCCCCAACACACAGACCCTGAATTCTTTCCCCAACGCACACCCATGAACCGCAGGCTACACTGTCGTAAGCTGGTATAAACCCCTGACCGGGTGCAAGTGGGATGACCTCCTTCCTGGACAGAAGGCAGACATGGACCTTGCTTGTCACAGACTTTCCAGGAGGTCGGAGACAGCTGCCCCCTGCAGTGGCACTGCCTCGGAGACTGGCCTCACTTCACAAGGACGTGGGATGTGAGATTCCTGCCTGATTGTCCTGTCCGCCCCACCCTCTTCCGTTCCATGCCCAGGGGCCCTCCATCCTACAGGCCTCCGACTAACCTGCTGCCAGCCCCGGGAGGGCTCCCTGTTAAGGGAAGTAGACAGACACACGGACTACAGAAGCATGGGCACACTGAAAGGACACGGCCAGCGGAGAGTACGCTTGTCTGACAGCAGAAATGCCCTAGGTGACCTGGTCAGGTGACCTGGACACTGCAGCGGGACAGACCTGTGGCCAGAGCTCAACGCCGTCCTCAGCTCTGACCCCTCCCCTCCTGGCCCCAGCAGCTCAGTCTCTGTCCTTCCGTGGACATAAGCACCATTTCTGGCTGAAGTTCAGACAGAGGCTTTCATCCCAGAAGATCAGTTTTTTACCCTCCCTCACTCTGGCTTCTCAGTGTGAAGACAGGGGCACAGTGAGCATCCAGTGGCCGCCCCACTGCTGTCCCTGGGCAGCACCTCCTCCTCTGCCCTACGTGCGGGGGCCGTGGCTCCCCAGGGACGGAGCCCCACGGGAGCAGCGACCAGGCTTCGGCAGTTGCCAGCCAGGGATGGCGGGTCTCAGGTCCTTGCCCAGCCTGCCTGACACTCTCAGGGCCACCAGCAGGATGAGGACAAACCCAGGGCATTTCGTGAAGCCTCGGAGGCCGGGAAGAAAAGGCCTCCCTAGCTCTGGTGACGCCTGTGGGGAGCCCCCTCTGCAGGGGGTGAGGGGCCACCGGGCACTGCACGGTGACAGAGACAGACACACGCCGGGCTGTGGCCCACCCGCTGTGGTGTGCAGGCCGGAGACGCTTACCGAGGGCGAGTCCATTGGTGACGGCAGAGGAGGAGGCGAGGGCGAGGCCCCTGCGGGGGCTGCGCGACTCCAGGACGCTGTCGTCCAGCAGGTGCCTCGCTTTCTCCGATGGGAATGTCGCACTTTTACTCTCAACTACACTCAACTGACACATCATACTGGAAAATGGAAAGGAAGAAAGAGGCAAAGCTCCTTATCTAGGGAGTGACAGTGGTTATACCTGCCCTGGCATCCTGAGCAGACGGCGCAGCTGCAGGAGAAAGACCTCCACCCAGAACCGTGGTCTAAGTCCAGGCTCTGCCCTAACTCCCCGTGTGACCTTGGGCAAGTCACATCCTTCTTCTGAGCCTCAGTTTCTCCATCTGTCAAATGGGGCCTTACGATACTTGCCCTGCCTGTCTCCCAGGATGACTGTGAGGCTCAAGTGAGCGGATGGTGCCGGTGAGCCATGGAGCCACACAAGCGAAGGGACAGTGTGACCCCGCGGTCAGCACGTCTGGTTCTGGAGTCACAAACCTGGTCCAAATCCTCGCTCCAGCCTTACTCACCACTGCAAGGTACTTCACCTGTCGAACCTCACCAGCCTCGTTCTTACCATGTGTATCATATAGCGCCTCCCCTGGAGGCCTGCAGGGGCTCAGTGAGAGAATGCTGGACAGGCACGTAGCAGAGCATCTAGCACAGAGCAAGCCCCAAACACTTGGAGAGCAACCCTTTCTCCTCCAGCCTGTGAGTGACTCCAGGGCTGGTCTGGGCTGGTTGAGGCTTGTGTCCTAATGGTGGAGGGAAGGAAGGAAGGAAGGAAGGAAGGAAGGAAGGAAGGAAGGAAGGAAGGAAGGAAGGAAGGAAGGAACGGAGGGAGGAAGGAACGGAGGGAGGAAGGAAGGGAGGGAGGAAGGAAGGGAGGGAGGGAGGGAGGGAGGAGGGAAGGGGGGAGGGAAGGGAGGAAGGGACCCAACTGCTCAGGATTCTGTGCCCGACACCCTGGGGACATGGGCATGGCTGCCCCGGCCACGCTGAGGACCATGCATGTCTCCCAGCTGTCAGCCCCACACAGCTGGGTGAACCAGTGGCAGGCTCACTGCTCTGCAGGCTTTCTGCAACAATTGGCAAGCAGAGACTCTGAGCCCCAGTACCCAAGCACCATGAGACACCTAGTGCTCCCTGGATGACATGGTGTCCACTGGACTCTGGGGTTTTCCACAAGGAGGCACTAACCGAGCTTGGGCAAACCTCCTGGAATCCCTCCACTGTTTCCCTAACCTTCCCCGCACACTTCCTCCCTTGGCTGCCGAGCCCATGAAACCCCGTCACCAGTTCGCAGGCTGTGCTGCCGCGGACGCCCCCACTCTTCCTGAGCACGTGCCAGGCCTGAGGAGAGGGCACCATCCCGGGACGCCGAGAGTGCCCGTCAGTGACTCCCAGACGGGCGGCGGAGGGCCCGGTGGGCCGGCATTCCCAGCAACCCTTCAGCCCACGCCCCATGCTCAGCCCAGTCTAGACCCGGGGAGCAGGGGGTGCTCGCTCAGTCACCCACTTGTTGCCCAGGCTGTGGCTCTTCCTGTGTCTCGGAACTGGAGGCGTGGGGAGGCTGCCAGCCACAGATGCGTCAGGACAAGTAGGCCGCCGGCTGAA